CCCAAAATGAAGTGACCCAACCAAAATGATGTATCTATTTATGCTCATTGATCATGAAATCATATGGTTAGACATATAAAAAGCCATGTTTGAACTGATATTTAAAGATTTACATGAGAAATATGTGATTTGAGGGAGCGTTTGGTTGCCATTTTGAAAAATCACCTGATACCAATATCAGATGTAATTTAAAATGAAAATACTTATTAGATTTGTATTCAGCAGCCAAAATGGCCATAGAATCCACTTGTCTGAAATTAAATTTCTCAAAAAAGCCTTCATTTGCCCACCCCTACTTAAAGAGTCAATTTTTCAAGGAAAGTAAGACATAAGCTGAAATTCAAATAGAGAAATAAATGTAAATGAATTTAAACACCTCTGAAATAGTTATAGCGTGCAATTGAAACAGGTTTTATTAAATGAAATTTCGATGTGATAAAACCATAATTTGCACAAATTTTCAGAGTGATTTTTATGTTTACGACATTGACACTGGCAAATGGACACTGATCACAGAGGACACTTTCTCCATGGGGGGTCCAAAGCTTGTGTTTGACCACCAAATGGCCATGGATATTGAAAAACAGACCCTCTATGTCTTTGGTGGCAGAGTGCTTTCTAAGTAGGTGGAAAATTCAAGAAATGTTACTATTTATATTGAAGATATACTGTTTGCTTAGACCTTTATAAAGAATAAGAAAGTAGTAAAAAAATTAAGTGAGTTTCAAAAATCTTTTCTCAGTCACTGACTAAGAGGTATATCATATCTCAAGCTGTTTAGATAATTATGATTATGTGGTCTCTGCAACTTCTTTTTTCGTTCTTGTTTGCTCTGTTTCTCCACAAGGAAATTTTGAACTTGTATACTCCTGTTGTATACTGGTAATGTTTATTATTTGAAAAATAAGGGATTAAAATAAAACTTTTTACGTGAAAAGAATTAACACTACCATGCTGTTGTTTACAGAACTCCATCAGAAGTGGAGCGCAGTAACGAGCAGGTCTTCAGTGGGTTGTATGCTTACCATGTGCCAACTAACATGTGGCGCAAGCTGAAGGACGACTGTCCAGAGATGAGGTCAAGGATTGGTCATTCCATGCTGCTTCATCCAGTAAGTGCTGCTTTCCTGGCAATTTTTTTTTTTCTTTTTGAACTTGAGTATAGGATCCTGAGTTTTGAACACTTTAGTCTCAATTTTTTTTTTCAAATATACATACAATTAGGCTGAAGAAGGGCTGTGTTGCAAGGTTGTAGTTTGTGAGTCATTTAATTTCATTATTTTGAAATTAACTTTGTGTACACCACCATATTCATGTGGGACCTTTGTAATAACTTAGAATCATGTTACCCATTTCGATATCATAGGCTCAATGTACAATGTCATATCATTACGTTAAAAACAAATTATCTTATGAACAGCTTCTTGAAAAATAAGCTGTTTATAGCTCTTGATGTATTAAGCCAAGCAATGTTGGTAAACTAAACAATCCCAATTGACCAAGAATTGCAGAACAGTAAAAAGATGATACTTTTTTTTCTAGGAAATTCTTTCTTGGTGGAAAGTGATAATTGGCATTTTATATTAAAAGGAACTCATAAATAATTAATTTAAATTTAATTTGACTTATTGATTAGCATAGTATCAAAAAACTTTCCAGCTTGTAAACATGAAAATGTTGAAATACATAGTACTGTGTCCTTTAGATGTTTACTGCTGTTGGAATGTCTGTGCTAATGGAAAAAGCTGAGGTGTATTTTACAGAAACTGCAGCATGCAACCTTGATGTTCAGGTTATCATTCAAATGGTTTAAATAATTGATCATTTTATTGTTGTTCTCCAGAAGTCCAGGCTGCTGTACGTCTTTGCTGGTCAAAGAGCCAAGGAGTACCTCACAGATTTTTTTACATACAACCTAGATACCGGGGAAATTATTCTGATTTCAGACGGGACAAGGAAGGACGGCGCTCAAGGTAAGTTGGTAATGACAGGTCAAGGTCACAAGCCTATGACCTTGACTTATTGTTTGAGTCAGGTCAAGGTCAGTGCAATGCATTAAATAGTTTGAATATTAACAACAACTTGAACATTTTAAACCAAAAATTAATTGAAACTGTGACCAACAAAAATAAACAGATTCTATAAGGTTTCCGTAGCCAAATTAGAAAATATGTAGTACTTGTTGAAAGTTAACTCTGTTAACTCTCCTAAAATTAGCACAGCCTGTCAGTTATTTTTATTAAATAATAAATTAATTTATAATTTAATTTAAATTTTCAGTTCCAGCGGCAGGGTTTACACAAAGGGCTACATTAGATCCTGAACTTAATGAAATACATGTTCTTTCTGTAAGTTGCTCTAGACACTTAGGAAGAGATTATTTTTTCCTTTCAAACTGTTTATGATTAAGTTATATTATGCATATAGTAGGTTTAGTGACCTGATGGAAACTTCTGTTAAGTATGAAATAAAATGTAGTTGCATGCAACGTTAATTAAACATATTGAAGCTTATTGTAGCTAGAAAATAATGTCCTTTTCATTTACTTTTCATGCTATTTTTCTTGAATAATACCAGTTCTGCAACACTGACATTATTATTATTATCTTCAGGGTTTAAGCAAGGACAAAGATAAGCGTGACAATGTGCGAAACTCGTTCTGGGTGTATGACATCAGCAAGGGGAAGTGGTCGTGTATCTACAAGAACGAGACTTTAGACCAGAAGTACTGGAGTAGAATGCAGCATGTTGAACCGGTGCCGAGATTTGCTCATCAGTTAGTTTATGACCATATCAGAAAGGTGAGAAATTGCCACTTTCTGATTTTGACTACAAAATGGCTCGGAATTGATAAACTGATTTAGATTTGTTTTTATAGCCACATGAGAGAAACTAGGCTAATTTGAACTTTGAACTTGAAGATGGAATGTTTATATTCTGTCCTCTTTACCATCAGGTGCATTATTTGTTTGGTGGCAATCCAGGCAAAGAAGGTCTTCCAAAAATGAGATTAGATGATTTTTGGGCATTACAGGTGAGTTGCATAGAAGTTTTTACTTCAGTTTCCTTCTTGATTATTTTGATTTTTAGATCTCCCGATTTGTAGATCAATTTATTGTGCTTAATGAATGATAATTACAAAATAATGCTAAATCAGTGGGATCCCTGGCATCCAATTAAGTCACATTGTGTAGACTATGTAAATAGTATCATTTTAATCTTTGTGAGTCTTTTTCTTGTGCTGATTAACTTCCCAAACCTTGCTTATATTATGAACTTACATCAGAAATTTGATAACATTTCAGCTGTGTAGGCCATCTAAAGAGCACCTTTTGCGGAGGTGCAAGTATTTGATCAGAAAGCACAGGTTTCAGGAGATTGCCAGCTCAGACCCTATTTCCGCCCTCAACTTTTTGCAGACCAAGCTGGCCGAGACAGTGGATCACAGTGACGCAGAGGAGACCCGTGATGTAAGCACTGTCAGAATTAGATTTTATTATTTATTTATTTCAGATTTGTACTTGCAAAATAGGGCATTTGTCCTTTGATCTTTCCTTCAATGCAAGATTTCGTTATTATTATAAAACAGAATAGAGATCACCTTCTCTCAGCAGAATGCTCATTAAGTCTTTCATCAGTTTCTCTTTTCTGAATTTTCAATAATTCCTATTTTGCTCAAAAGATGCAGCCATTTGAATTTACAACAATTAATTGTAAAGAAGCATTATTGTAAATTTTTTCATTACGTTCATCTGAGAAGATGGTTTAATCTGTTAGTATTTCTTACTTTGTCCAGCAATTTTAACTTTCTGGATTCCATTTCAGTTTCAGCTCCTTGCTTCCACATTATTCAAAGATCCCACGGAAGATCCAGACAGTTTGGGGATACAAGGTAACAATCTTTGCTCACCTTCAGTTAGATGGGGGTCTTCATTTTATGAGTTTGTGATATAAGCCACTGGTCCAAGATACTGGAGGATATAGATTCAAAAACACAACCATTATATGACATCGCTAATAACCTGGATATGAATTAATATTTAAAAAAGATGTAAATTTGAAGAATGTGCACAGATATTAAATGTCTCTGGTATATCAGTGTTGTGTAGCACATTGCCAATTGTATTCGTACAAATCCTAGATGTCCTAAAATGAGTGAACATTCTGCTTTTCAGATCAGGGAGTACACGAACACTTCACCAGTAGAAGCAAGCTGTTTGATACGCTGGTCTCGTTCTTTCCTGAGGAGATGACGCAGCCGAAGGGAAATCTTGTGGACGTAATTACCATGTCTTAGCATTGACACCAATAAACTCTCCTTTTTTCCTCTCCCAAAAGAGGAGTTTTTTCAGCATGGACAACTGGTCCTCCTTGCAAAACTGACAGATATTCTGTCCTGTCCAGATATTTCATTGTTCTTGTGTTCTAAACTTGTTCCAAACATAATCATCTCTGTGGTACTCCTTTTATGGAGAAGTTGTGGACTTTGTTTGTTGAAAAATGAGATACAGTTTAGCTATTCAGTTTGCTTTGATTTACGCTCAGTAGTAAGGCCCTGAGATGCACATTTTTAAATGTCGGTGTTCTCGAAAACCTTGCCAAATTTCAAAAGTAAGAATTTTCGATTAAATCTTTTACTTATTATAGTAACCTGGTTACCACTAACAGCCCTATTCTGTGATGAAGGCATCTTGTGAAGCATAAAAGAATTAAAGTTATTTAGTTGTTGTTTGAAAATTTATTACTGTAACTTCATAGACTCTGCTATTTTGAATCACCATTTGAAGTTGTTAAAAAAAATTTAATGTATCATAATCACTTAAGAAAAAATATCAAAATTTTGCTATGAAATGCACATGACAGCTAAATAAGTAAACCGTTTTTGAGTAAACCTAATATTAATTTTTAAAAATGTGAAAGTGCAAATTAACTTAACTTTGATGTAGTTGCTCCAAGAGTTATTTGATCTATATTCTGCATTTATGCCTATTGAGTTATTGGTTTATTCAGTAATATTGTATGTAAGGGAACGTGCAAAAATTTGACATGTAAACAGGAAAGTTGAATATGTTGCTATATTTAAGACATTTTTTGTCTGTTTACTAATATTTTTTTCAATGTTGACAAGACGGGGGCTCAAGAGTGCTCTGTCAGGATTTTTTCATTGGGGGGAAAAAGGGGGGGGGGAGATTATAGGGATCTTTGAGAAATGATAAGTTTATTGTCAAAATACAAAGTGCAGCTGTGCTTGTTCAACATAAATCTTCACATTGCTATTTATATCTGTCAAAATAAATGCCATGAATATTTTCAAGAGGTCTTTTTTTTTTAAATTGACTTACAAAGCACCAGGTCTTGCTTGCCATTCTGCTAGAAGTTTTATAAATGCAGAGTTTCCCCTGACGCCTTACCTTCTGGGGCAGTGTTCACAAGTCGGAGAGTCCATTAGTACAACACAAGTAACATGGATAAAGTATGGTGTTTTGTTTAAGGCACGTAACTTTACTGTAAACGGTAGTTAAAACTACAAAGGTAAAACTACGACCTTGCATGCCCATTTGAACTTCATGCAATACTTTTTTTCAAATTCCACACAATATTTTAGTGTTAATTGTAGCAATGAATGTTCATAACTTCAGTGTTGTAATTCTGGATTACTTACTCTGCATGTGATTAAATTTAACAGAGGCCTGAAGAAAGTGCACTGGCACATAAAACATCAGCTCTTTTTTCAATCATTTCTTTATTTCCACACTATGGACTTGGGCAATATGTACCAAAAGTTTACTTTTTTTACTACAGAAAAAATCACATTGTTTGTTTGGGCAATGATAGTTGAATCTTGGAGGCTGAGCACAAGTCTTCGAGTCACCCTTGCAGTTATTAGGGTAACAAGTCCAGTTAATATTTCTGTTATATGCATCCTTCTGATTTCTTTTAAATTTTGAAACACACTTTTTAACTCTGCAGCTGCAGTTTTGTGTTTTCAGAGCCACTGCTTGCTGGAGGGTTTTGATTTTCTTGGACGGCACAGTCAGAGTTTTATCTGGCGCATTTGTCCTGCTGCCATCAAAACTCGCAGCTTCTGCATTGCTTGATTTCCCTCGTTTTATATTATTGTTAGCCTCATCTTGCAGTACTCTATCAGGACACCCCTTAAAGGAATTGCCCGCTATCCCCAGTTCATCAGAATGCTGGCATGCCACAGGTGCAGCAACGGTAACTCCAGCATTGTCAACAAACCCACCTGTGGTACTGGTACCTTTTGAGTGCATTCTCAGTGCATGTTTTTGAAGATGTCTGTACCTGTGTCCTATATAACTGCATTCCTTGCATGAAAACAAGTCTTTCTCTCCATGACACTTTGCCCTATGGTCTCTCATAAGATATTCCTTTTTGCAACGATATTCACATTCACTGCACTTCGTTCTCCTAGTATTTGGTTCTCTAGTACCCGATAACTGCTCACCAGGTTTAGAAAAATGAAAAGAAATTTTATAATTTTGATATTTTCCTGGTTGGTTCCATGATTCCACTTTGGAAGGAGGGACCACATACACACTGTCTTCATCGCATTCTAAATAAAGATCAATGTCATGAAGGAGTTCTGATTTCAATATATCGTCTCGGCCGAGAACCTGATAAATGTCATTCACGCCCCCTAAAACTTTAGTCACACCCTCTAGTTGATCCATATTTACAACACTACTGGACTCTACTGTACTTGACAGCAGCTGACAAATACAATTATCGAACTGTGCTCCTTCGCAGATTTTGCATTCGTGCGTTACTGCATTCTGAAAGATACTAGAGACATCATCTTGGTGGGGACCGTCTTTGCTGCTCAAGTCGGGTACTGTCAACTCTCCCAGAGTAGAAAACGACGCAGAGGTTGGTGACTGCATTTTCGGTGGTTGATTTTCTTCTAGAATCCCTGGAATGATTAATAATAAGAGACTCGCCTTCATACCACATGACTGAGTGAATCTTTCAAATTAGGTAGTTATAAGAGGCTAGTAAAGAAAGCTGAAAGGGTAACGTTTTGCTGTAAAATGAAAGGCGTTAACGTTTAACTTAAGCCTCCCTAATGTGCAGTTATTTTTATTTAAATATGTCCATAGAGCGCCTTACTTACGTGCTTATAACAACAACATGATGTTGCTGTTACTACATCTATATTTAACTTCCATGCCTTGTTCTCAATTTCTATTATTTTATGTAGTATTGGAGGTCAACAAGTGGTGCTGAATTTGTGCATGGTTGTCGTAAAAGTCCGTTTGGAAGATATGTAAAATGTATCCATTAATGACTATTTATGGCATTTTCATTCATCAGATCAGATAATCATTTAAGCTTCATGAACTTATTTTTTTAAACAATACTTTTCTTAAGGTATAAAAAAAATCTTCAATTTGAAATATGTGACGGTGACTTCTTCTTTATTTGGAGGACGGAAATAGATACAATGGCATCCGAACAACAACGTGCTGATGCGGCCGTTCCGATAAAAAAGCGAAAACATTCCCTGGAAGAAGTATCAAATGGCGAAACAAAATCGGAGGACAGTTTCGGGGGCTTCAATATTTGCAAAGTTTTAAATGAGAACGCTAAACATAAAGCAATTTTTGTTCACGGATCGTTTGAAGGTAGTACGGATGACGCTGTTGTCATTTTGGAGAAAACTCCTTTTACAGAAAACACAGTCAAGGGAATTTTGTCGTCAGATACAGATTTGAAACTGGCAATTCATAATGATATATATAAAACATTTGAGGCATTTCCAAAACCACAGGAGAACGGTTAGTATTTTGGAAAGAAAAAAGTTATTATTAAAATATTTTTATATAATAAAATCTGCATGTTTACTGTATAATGAATGGATGTGTCATCAGTAATAACTCAGTAAAATGAATTGATAGATAGATTCACAATTCTTAAGTTAGATTTATCATGACTGAACAGATTTATCTCCACTCAGAGCCTATTTTTTCTTTATACAAAGTGAAATGTATTTCTTAGTGCATGTATTTCTAAGTCATTTAGCAGTCATTAGGATGCTTATTCAATTTTCTCCCCCCTCTCTCTGTATCGCACACGCGGATATGCATTTGTGTGGTAGTAGTATTTGATTGTTTGTATACTAACACTGAATACTTTCAGGGATCAAAGCCACCCTGATTTACCCTGCCACTTCTAAACACATCAGCAAGTATACAGAACAAGACGTGTATGTTGTGAGAGAGACAGCAGAAGACTACAGGAACATCACTCTGCCATACATACAGGCAGAACAATTTAGTATACAAGTATGCCATATATTGTGCAATTTGTGAATTTGCTTAGCTAGTATTTTTGTGGTTTGATTTGATATGAAATTATTATTGTGGCAAAAACATGTTCTCTTAAATGAGAGAACAGTTTCATTAGCTCTGTATGTATCAATTTAAATTATTGTTTTTCTTTTTACAAGAGCTTATAAAATATGTGGGTATTACCATTGATAAAAAGAAAATCATATTCTCTTACATTTAAATTATGCATTTGCTAAGTACATTTTCCAACTTGAAAAAGTCATTAATTGAGTTGATTGCCATTATAAAGTCTGTCATGTACTAACATAATTTTCATCAACATGGCATACATAATTGAAAAAATGTAATTGCTATTTTCACATATGCACTACTTTTTTTCGTACAAAGTAATACATTTTAAAATATATAGTATACACAGTTTGTAGTGGGTATTTTGTAATTGTAAAACATTTAATTCATGTTTAACTTATTATATTGCAGTGGGTATATAATATCCTAGACAAGAAAAAAGAAGCGGAGAGAATTGTGTTTGAGGACGTTGATCCTGAGACAGGGTTCATTCTCCTCCCTGACATGAAGTGGGATTGCAAGCAGGTCAACGACCTCTACCTTGTTGCCATATGTCACACCAGAGGACTGAGATCACTTCGAGATCTTACCAGAGACCACTTGCCTTTGTTGAAGAATATACTTGAAAAGGGACAGGTAGTTTAAACTTTATTTTGTAAATGACTAGGTTATTATAAACTTCAGATAAAAGTACTGGGAAGTATACTTTGATGATTTTCCCTTTTTTCTTTTGAATTTAAGAAAGATAATTAATTTGAATTTTTTAATTTAAGTTAATCTGTTTATTAATTTATTTGAATAGATTTTGCAATAAAAGCCCTGGCTTCAGTTTTTCATAAAATTAGTGGCATATGACTTTAGGCCAATTGTTGATGGCACAGATGGACCTCAAGTACATAGTAAATTATAGATCACATTTTTCAGATTTATTCTTGCACAACTTGTACAGCAGCATGAGTTACCGACAATGGTCATATAACATATACATATTTTATTTCACATACATCAGTACACATAGTTAGTCTCTCCCTTATAGATTAAGACATAGACTGTACATACCATATTAAATCAACCTTTACATCATAACCTTACACCCCATTCTCATAGATTAGATCGACCTACATTGGATCGACCTAACTCCCTGGGGGTTCACGCTAAATAGCTGTCAGCCGGGCGGACACGAAAGTTAATTACCCCTTAAAGCTTGTAGTAGGCGGGGACGGACACTTAAGGGGGATTATCTGACAGTAATCTAGTGAGACTCCCCGCGGTGATAGATCGATCTAAAAGTTGTGAGAACAGAGCCTTACATCTCTTTGTATTTCAGAATGCAATCAAAGAAAAGTACCAAGTGCCACCCAGTAAACTCAGGATATATTTCCACTACCAGCCGTCGTATTACCACCTCCATGTCCACTTCACTCACATCAAGTTTGATGCCCCGGGATCTGGGGTGGACAGGGCACACCTCATCCAAGATGTCATTCAGAACATTGAAATCAATGGAAACTTCTATCAGGAGGCCTCCATTTCGTTTGCTCTTAGGGAAAATGACAAGTTGTTGAGTAAATTTAGAGAGGCGGGAAAAGCTTGATTTAGGCTTGAGAAGTAATAATGGGATGGTTTTGGACATTTATCAGTATGCCCCCCCCCCACTTTGCTGTGAGATATAATTATAAGTTATTGCTAGTAGATTATAATACCCTCCAGGGGAAGGTGGGGGGGGGAGATGTGTTAGTTGGACTATCTGGAGAGACAGGACAAGATGACAGTCGGTGCTGAAGCCGAAATCATTATAGCCAGCTGATCCTTCAGGTCGGCAGGGTCCGTGAATCTACTTTGATAAAGCAGAAATGGTATCTTGTGAATGAACTTAAATTATGCTGATGACCCAGTTTCAATTTTTCCTGGCAGTTGGGTTTGGACCATTGTTTAAATTGCCTGTTGAGCTAGCCCCAGTTTCACAAAAAAAAAAACTTAAGTCAGTTCCAGTGGTCACATTCACACATCCTACCCTATCAGGAACAATGTTACAGCACTCTCATGGAAATTCTAGTCAACTAAGCCAGGGAATGGACGTAAGTGTTTTTGCGAAACCAGGATCTGATAACATGTTTTATCCCAGAAAAAGAGTCACTTTTTTTCTTTTTGACAAGATCATATTCTCAGTTCATTGGTGTGCTATACAAAAGTAGAAGGTACATGTTACCTACATTCTCGTTGTCAGAAGGAGGTTCAAGGAAATGGGAACAACATTTCTGTTTATGGATAGGACATTGACAAAATTGTGTTTTTAAGTCTGAGAAGAAATAACAAATTACTGAATTCATGAAAAAAGAAAATAACAGTACGAATAAAAACAATGTTCAGGGTGTAAATTTGTCTTTTACTAAAAGAGAAAAGTGTGTTTTAAAGATTTTATATCCCCATGAAAATGATGTGAAATAGTTGAAAGACGTATAATATTTTGATTCAAGTGCAGAAATGGGGGTATTTTCACTGTGAAACCTCATATAATAATATCTTGTGTTGCATTTGTATTTAATGGGTTTTCTTTTTTTGTAGAGCATTATGTTTATACATCATTTTATACATTGTATATACTGTAAGACTGAAGAAAATAAACTTTGCTAAACTGAAACAATCCATGTGTTTAAAATGCATTCGGACACATTGAAGTCGGAAGTAGAATAATTTAAGTTGAAATTCGTCTGACAGCAGTTTAAAAGTTGTTTCATAGCCAGTATCAATACTGAAACATGTATAATGGCCTCTACTGCTGTTGCGCAACTTGACTTTCTGTCATCGGACCGCCGTTTGCGGGGACTTCTGAAATCAAAATTGCTTTATGGAGAGAGAGATTTATTTGCTCTTTTGATGCGATTGGTTTACTCGATATAATGTAAATATAGAAACACGAGGTATAGTTTTATTGGAGAAAAAGGACAAGAAAAACCGCGGAGGAAGGGATGCGGCAATTTTTTTTTTTTTTTCAAAATTCAACTTGAAATTGATTTGATGTTAAACTGATCGATTATCCTCATATCTTACAAGTAATACGAAAAGGTGAACAGTAAACCACTTAGATACCTTAAAGTTACAATGCACTTTAGTTTCGACGAACTGAGAATGGCAACGCTCTGAGACCATAGGCGAAAGAGCTTTAACCCTCCCCCTCCCCCCCGCCCCCAACACACACACACACACACACACACACACACACACACACACACA